CCGCCGCGCCGCCCCGCGGCCTTAGCCGACGAGCGCGGCGCGGCGCGGCCGCGCGCTGCTTTCTCCTGGGGCTCTGTTTTGGGGTGCAATCAGATTATCCTCCCATTTCGACAACGGGCGGGCGGGCTGCCTTGGCCGGTCCGCACTTGCGTCGACGCGTGCACGAACCGCCGTTGTTTACTCTGCTCTGTCCGCGATTCCCAGCTCCGGTGGCACGGCCCATCGCAACTGGCGCCCCCGACGAAACCCCCGCGCCTGGCACAAACAAACGGATTTCCACTGGAATTACAGCACTGCGCGCCCCCACCAGACAGGCGGCGCCGCACTGGCATCTCAACACCTCAGGGCCGCTGCGCACTCATTTGGGCGCACCTGCCCCCTGCTGGATGCGGCGGCCTGAGGTGGGGGCAACCATCCGGCGCAAGGGCGCGCCCACTGTTTCTCGACCAAGAATTGGCCCCATTGCGCCATTACCATCACTGCGTTGGCGCTCTCTGATGGCGACGCTTTTCCAACCTGCGCGCGCCCTGAGGCGACTGGGTCCCCGCCGCTGCGCGTGAGCCGCAGCTATCGGGTGGAGCATCTGTTGCGGGCCCTTGCACGGACGTTCACGTGTGAGGCCTGGTACTCTATATATGCGTTGACTGTGTGTCTTGGCACTGCGGGTTGCCTCCGTGCACCCACGAACTGAATGCGTCTGGGGCTGACCTGGCCTTTGGGTGTGCAACAAGCGGCCCCAACTGCAAGCAACACGTCGCACCAACGCTGAGCACATTGTGGCGAGGAACCCAGCCACCTGCCCCAGGAAACCTTGCGGGCTCTCGGCCGCGTACCTAGGTGTGGCCGGCCGCTGGTACTTGCGGCCTGGCCACCCCCTGCGGTCCAATCTCTGGCCGCCTGCCCCTGTGTGGGGCCTGCGGACCCCGCGGGTGACGGGTGCTGGGTTTTCGGGCGTCACCGCAAGATCCGCCAGCACTTGCTGCCATTTCCGCGCGCGCCTGCAATCGCTTACACACCGCTGCAAGTTGGCCCAGGCATCCTCTTGTCCTTTCTTCAGCATTGCTTTACCTCATGTACCTGCGTTTGCCGACCGACAGCCCCCGCGGCGAGCGGTGCCGGGCGCGGCGGGGCTGCAGCCGCCGGCCCGAGATTTGACGGTCGCGTGCCGCGCTGCCCACCCTGGCCCTGCCCCTGGCGCCGCCGCACGCTCGATGCGCTCTCGGCGGGAGGCTTCGACCACGAAAGCACGCGATGATAACAAAACCTTGATGCACCAGGCATTGTCCAAGCTTCGTTGCATGTCTGAAACGCAGTGGCGCCTGGTGTTCTGTAACAGGCACCTTGGAGGAGCAGCCTTGTGTGATCATGGTGCAGGCGCATGCCACTGCTGGGGGTGTTCGGCGCTTGCGACTTCCTAAAGCGCAGCCTGTAGACGACACACGCTGGAGCAGAAGCTTCCGCTGGCACACGTGCAGAAAAAGGGCGGCCCAACAGACGCATGCCTGGACGGCTTGGTTGGGGCCGCGTCTGGCGTGGGTGCATTTTCCCAGGCCAGCCGCTTGCATGCACTAGCTCGGCCCAGGGGCGGGGACTGGGCAACAAGAGGGCACCCAGCCGCGACACTAGCGAGCGGCAGAGGGCACCCAGCTGCGACACTAGCGAGCGGCAGAGGGCACCCAGCTGCGACACTAGCGAGTGGCAGAGGGCACCCAGCTACGACACTAGCGAGCGGCAACGCCTGCCTCGACGACGCTGGTGGGTGAGCAGGAGTGACTGGTGCCCGATGCTCCCACCCGGGCTCAAGGGCATGCGTACCCGCCAGCCCTGGCGCCCGTCGTCAGCGCTGTCGGTGGTGACGCCTCACTGCAAGGGGAGCCAGAGTATTCGGGGGGGGGGGGGTTGAGCGGCGCGCGCGGCACTGCGGGCGCGGACGGGGAGTGCGGCGAGGGTGGTGCCACCCGGTGATAAGTACTGGACACCAGACTGTGGCCGGGCGCTCGTGCGAACCCAGTGGCGGCGTCGCGTCCAGTGTTGTTGGCAGGACTGGCAGGCGTTTCGCGGCTGCTCCCATGCCACGCAATGCTTGGCTGGCAGGTTGCTGCCGCCATTGTTGTTGAGTTGGGCATCAGGATGAGAAAATGAGGTGGCCACAGTTGCTGACGGTGCCCTGCTGGTCTAGCCGCGGCTCACGGACACCGTGGCCCTGCGTCACACGTGCCCAATTGGTGGCTGGCCGCACCGTTCGCTACTGCGCCCAGATGAGCCAGCAATGTCAGGTGTCACGTAGCCATCGTGTTTGGGGTGCAGCATTAAGGGGCCACTGAAGCTATGACCCGATGCCCCTATGACAGGAAGCCACGCGCAGCTGGGGCCGCGATTGAACATAGCTCCCCGTGCTCAGTCTGACACCGCAGAACGTTTCGTGGCGCCCCTAGTTGCGTTGATATCGATTATCTTCGTTGAGCAAGGTGGCGCAGGAGCCCTTTACGCATAGCCGTGTGCTAACTGCATCCTTGGGTCCATGCCACGCGATCGACAAGCTGCACGGCATGCGGCGCTCTGTGAGTGATCACACGCAACATCGTTTTTTACTGGAGTGGCCTGTGGACCTGACGTGGCCGTCCTGTTAGCCACCCACAGCATCATCACTGTGGTCGCCGTGCAGCCCTTCATCAGGTGGGCTGAGGCCTGAACAAGGCATTTGGGATGTTCACCTCCATCTTGGACCACGCGGGCGTGCAGGCAGGTCTCGGGCGCGGCTGGGCAGCTACGCTTTTTTTCGGCGGACACAGACCGTCCAACCTGTTGGCCGTCTGTTGCCCGTCCCTTCCGCAGTTGCAGGCACGCCAGCTATTTGGCACGTCAGCAGCTGTAAATGCAGCCTGTTGGCAGCTGGGGCCGCGGGACGGGCAGTGGCGAGGCGCCCGACGAGGCCCTCGCGCGCGCAGTCGCCGTCGCCTCGGCAGGCAACGCCGGCGCAGGCGGCAACGCGGCCGCCGCTTGGATGCAGTCGGCGTCTGGCGACGACGGATCAGGGGGCGCTGCGGCGCTCTCGGCGGCCGCCGCCGCAGCGGCCGCTGCTGCGGCGGCGGGGGCGGCGCCGGCTGCAGCTGCGCCCCGGGGCCCGCGCCACCGATCATCTGAGAAGACCTCCAGCTACCGCGGCGTCGCGGCGACAGACAATGGCACTTGGCGCGCGCGCATCCGGTTCGGGCGATATACGGTGCACCTTGGCAGGTGCGCCAGCCGCATGTGCCCGGCCGCCCCACGCCCGGCCGCCCCGCGCCCCCGCGTATCCCACCCCGCGGCCGCACCCGCACGGCCGCTCGCCTGTGGGAGCGGGCCCTGCGGGCGTGCCACGCTGCCCGCGCGCGCTGTCCCCTGTGGTCAACCCCTGTCTCCTCCCCCCACTCAAAACAACCCAACAGGTTTCGGGAGGAGCGCGAGGCCGCGCTGGCGTACGACCGCGCCGCGTCGCTGCTGCTGGGCCCTAGCGCGGTCCTCAACTTCAAAGAGAAGAACAAGGACGCCTGCGCCATGGTGCACACCGCGATCGTGATTCAGCAGGTCCTGGGCGCCGACGCGCCGGAGGCGGTCGCGCGCCTCGCTGGCGGCGCGGCGTACCCGGGGCAGGGCGGCGATGGCGGCGGGAACGGTGGCGGCGGCGGCGGCGGGGGCGCCAAGCCGGGGGTGAAGCGCGCGAAGCTCGAGACGAGGATGGCGCTCGCGTCGCAGTACAACCACCAGAGGCGCGCGGAGCAGGAGCAGCAGCAACAGCAGCAGGAGCAGCAGCAGCAGCAGCAACAGCAGCAACAGCAGATCATGCAGCTCATCGAGCAGCAGCAGCGCGCGGCCGCCGCCGCGGCCGCCGTGGCCGCGCAGCAGCAGAGCAGTGCCGCCGCCGCCGCCGCGGCAGTCCGCGGGCCCGCGGGCCCAGCCGCGGCGCGCGGGGGCGTCGCGCACGGCGCCGCGCTGCAGCCGCTGCCGCCCCTGCTGGACGTGCAGCGGCGCCGCGCAGAGGACGCGCTGGAGCAGGAGCTGCTGCTTCAGCTGCAGCTGCAGCACCAACAGCTCTCCCTGCTCGGCGGCGCCCAGGGCGCGGCTGCCGCCGCCGCGGCTGCGCAAGCGGCGCAGCAGGCGCTGCCGCGTGCGCAGCGCGCGCCGGGACGCGGGGACCCGGACGCCGACGCGCTGCTCGACCAGATCCTGCAGGAGTATGCCGCCATGCAGCAACACGACGCGTGGGCGTCGCAGCCCAGCGCACGCGCGCCCGTCGCCGCGCCCGGTGCGGGCGCGGGCGCCGCGGCGGCGGCGCAGCTGCAGCAGCTCCGCGCGGCGCCCGGGCCCGCGGAGGGCGCGCTGCAGGACAGAGTGCTCGACGCGCTGCTGCACGGCTTCGAAGCGCGCCTGCTGGGCGGCGCGGGGGCCGCCGGGCGCGGCGGCGGCGGCGGCGGCGGCAGCGGCCTGGAGCAGCTCGCGTTGGAACAGCTGATGTCGGCGGTCGGTGGCGCGGCCGCGCTCGCCCCGCGGCAGGCGTCCGGAGGCGGAGGGGGAGGCGCGCCGATCGCGTGCGTGTCTGCGGGCGGGATGCCTGTGGGGGACGTGTGGGAGCAGGCGGCGGCGCGAGAGGCGGCTGCGGCGGCGGCGGTTTCGGCGGCGGCTGCTGTGCAACAGCAGCACCAGCAGCAACAGCAGCAGCAGCAGCAGCACCTGCAGCAGCTGCTCAAGCTGGAGGTGCCACATCAGCAGCAGGACCTGTCGAGCCAGCGCATGGAGGCCGCAGCTCGCCCCCGCCCCACGGGCGCGGCGGCTGCAGCCGCGGCCGCCCCGCACGGCAGCCCCGCCATGCCGCAGGGCGGGGCCAACAGCAGCTGCAGCGGCCAGGGCCGCGCGGCGGCCACCGCAGGCAAGCCCGGCGTCGCCGGCGCCGCTGGCACGGACGGCGCGGCCTGCCCCGGCGCGGCCGGCTTGCTGCTCGCGGCGCGGCAGGCGCGCAGCAGCGGCGAGGACGACCTGACCACTGATCTGGACGCGGAGCAGGCGGTGATGGCGGCCGCGATGGCCCAGATCGAGCGCCTGCTGCAGTCGCAGCCCGAGCTGCTGCTCGCGTGCATGCGGAGCGCCGCGCAGGTCGCGGGCGAGCCGCTGCAGCAGGACGCGGCCGAAACGCACGCGGCGGCGGTCGCTGCGGTGGCGGCGGTCGTGGACCAGCGCAAGCGCGCCGCGGGCGGGGCCGGCGGCGGCGCGGGCGGCGCGGCAGAGGCGGAGGCGGCGGGCGGGGCCGGGAAGCGGCGGAGGGGGTTTGGGGGGGACGCGGATGGGGACACGACTTCCCTGAGGCAGCAGCCGCGCCTGCATGAGAACCATGCCTCAGGGGCCCATGTGTAGGGCCCGGCCGCCTGCACGAGCTGTTGGCGTCCTGATCGCCCCTGGCGCCAACCCCCCTCACTTGCCGCGCCGAGGCGCGAGCCTGGGGAGTGTCTGCGGCGCGCGGCAGCGGCTACGCCGTCGTGCCTTGCTAGCCGGTGCCTCACAACCCGTGGATGGCAGCCGATGTTTTGCCCCGCCGCCAGCACCCAGAGAGGCTCTCACTCGCCCGCAAGCGCGCGCCGCTCCACGGCGGCCTTGCTTCCTGTTGGCTGCCCACTTGCCCGCCTCGCGCACCCCTGCGTCTCGCGCGCACGCGCGCGCGCAGGGCGAGGGGCTTTTGCAGAATGTTTGGGGCAGCGGCGCGCAACGCCGCCCCCGCCGCGCGCGCACCTACCTGTGCGCGGGCCTCTGTCGACGGATTGTTATCTCTTGCACATACATAGCTTTCGATGTTTTGGCGGCTAGCGTTCGCATTTGTGGGTCGGGACATTCCACTCGTCACTCGTATAACAGCACAGTCATACGCATCCTGCAGGCGTCCCACTCGCCGCCCGCGCCGCCTTGCTGCTGCCGCAGCGCGACCGAGGCGGTTACAAGCTCCCCCTCCGCCTCCCCATGCCCCTCCATGGACCCTTTCCGCCGAATGTTCCCCACACGTGGCGTGCGTGGAGTGGCGCACACTGGGGGCTCCGCCCGCAGGCACCTGCCCCTGCCTTTGCAACATGCACCGCGGCAACCGCAGCCTCTCTGCGCCCGCAGGCCCCGCCGCACGCCCGTTTTTCCCGATGGGCCGCAGCCAGCATAACAGGAATGCTTGCCAACGGCGGCGCCTCGGACTGCCTTCCTGCCTCTCTTGTTGCTTTTTCCATTGATCGGCTCCCACACGGTCCCTGGCGCCCGCTGTTCGCCCGCTTACGGGGCACGAGCGACGGTAGCTTGGGCCCTGGAATCGCCTGCTTGCGTTCGAGGGCCGCCTTGCGGGACATCTCAGGAGAATGCCAGCTGATAGCTTGCGGCGCCGCCCCACCCACCAGCAAGCGCGTTGCCGCGGTGCGCATCGCACTTAGTAACCCCTCGACTCCGCACCGCATCCGGCGCGCTCGCGCGGCGCTCGGCTGAACGCAAGCGTGCCCGCGACGGCGGCGCCGGCAGCATCAGCTTCGCTCCGCGGGTATCTTCAGGACATTGTTGTCTCGCTCCCGCGGCCCCGCTGGCCTAGTCTTGATCATGCAGCCAGCGCAAAAACTGTTGTGATGGCATACATGGACTTGTTTTCCCACCGAATCTGTCGCAGGCGTTTGGGGGGGGGGGGTGACAGCTGTTCAGGAGCGACCGGCTGTGCAGGCAATCTTTCAACCAACGGCTGGCGGTGCTGCGCGGCAGGCATGCTGGGCTGTGCGAGCTGCCTTGTGCGGTGCGCGCGTCCAAGCTTGCGGAGGTCTCCTGCACAACACACGTGTCGCACAATTTGTAAAATCCACCCACCGTGCGGCTGCCGTCTGTGGCGGTGTCGTAGTAGGCCGATGCAGCTGTGTGCAGGCCGGCACCTAGGAGGCGCGGCGGGGCAGCAGCAGGTGGTGGACGCCGCCGATCACGACTTGCGCCGCATGAACCTGCCTCGCTGCGCGCGTAGCCGCCGCGTAATTCTGCAGCCGTCGCCCCTTGCACCTGGCGCACCAGCGTGTCGCACGTGAGTCCCCGGCACTCCCACGGTGACCTCATGACAGGCAGAACCCTCTGCCCCCTGAGCAGCTGACGGCAGATCGTTGCCGCGGCCGCGGCCGCGTCGCCCCCGGAGGCGGGTGCGATTTTTGGTGCGCGCACCCGTCTTCTGCATGATGGTGCATGTCACGATGTACTTGTAGGGCTTCCCCAGCGCCACCAGCCGCTTCACGCAGCCCTCCAGGCAGTTGCTCGTCCACCGCCCCACCTGCAAAAACGCGCCGCGCAGGCCCGAACGGCGCGGGACGTACAAGGGAGGGGGTATCCGTTACAGAGGGGCGGCCACGGCCGCGCACACACGCAGCTGTTTGAGAGTGTAGATGCATCGGCGCTTCCTTGAGTGCAATCCTGGCTGATCCCCGTTTATTTTCCTAACAATCCCCTAGCTGCAGGCTGCCTGCCATTCATGTTTCCCACGACTGACTTCTGGTTAATGGGCACGCTCGTTGTACCATCTGCTCGTTGTATGCCTCCGCCGCCAGGACGCCGTCCACCGCCTCCTTGACAATTGCGGTCACCTCGTCTGCCACGAACCCGGTCTGCTTGCAACAGGGCGCACAAGAGGTGCAGGCGCATGCGCGAGGTGGGCGCACTGCGGTGGATGGCGCAGGTGGGATGCACACGCCGGCAGCAGCGCTCTACGATGCCGCACCTCATCTGGCACTGATGCTGCATCGTCCATAAGTCGGAGCTCAAACTGACTGAGGGCGCTGGATCATACGGAATTGCGGTTGACCAGATCGCGAAATTCCTGCCTAAATGCTTGCATTGTCGATTTTTTAGGGGATCACAAAAAAATGACTTTCACTTGTTCACTTTCACCCACCCAACATGCACAGGCCAGATCGCGCGGGTGACTGCTCAGCGTTTGGGACGCATGCATGAGGTGTACAACTGATTGCATGACAGTTATATTTGCTATAATATCACTCATTCACGGGTTGGGAGCACGTGGGCCCCCCATGGGGAGCATGTCGCACTAGCCAAGTTCTAGTTGCACTGCTGGGTGCTGGCGGTGCCTGGAGCGTCACGCATGCTGATGTTAGGCAACACAGCGCCTGTTTCTTTCATGACAACCCTGTCACCAACCGCGCCCCTTGGTGGTCCAATTTGCATGCTAGCTCGGCCGCGTGGCGCGGTTGGATCTGCAGCTGGCGGCTCACTCGCGCCGCCAATCCCGATGCAATGGCGTCAGGTTGTGATGGTGTTAGTTTTTGCTGTGACCGCGCTGCGTGTATGAGCTCAAGTGCGATGCGTACAGTGCGGTGAAACTTGCTGCCACTCGCGGGTTACGGCAGCTTAAGAGAGGGGGCTTACTGCGTCAACCAGCATCGATGTCGCAGCTCAGGGCCGCCTGCACGCATTCATGCACCCGGGCGCTCCCTCCCCTCCTGCCCACTGGCACCATTTGATTCAGTTGCCAAGTGTTGCTACCTAGAATCTGCGCATTTATGGCATATTGGTCGATCGCACACGGGAGCGCTGTTGGTTGCACACCTTGCAAACAGGCCACGTTCGAGTGTGGCACACAAAACCAGGATCACTCCCTCGAATAAACAGTGATGGTCACCGCAACCCACAAACAAAGCCTTGCAGTGTGCACAACTTTCCTTGCTGACTGCACAATGCACACACGTGTGTTTATGTGGAGCAACCCATGATGAGGCAAGTGATGGTGAAGATCTCGCAATGGTTGGCAGGGCCCGTGCAGGAAAGGGGGTGGCCGCAGCGGCGGGCGTCTTCCGAAAACGGTGTGCAATGGTGTGCAGAATCAAGGTGCACACCTTGATGAAAGAAAGGCCGCAGCAGGCAAACTTGTATTGGTGGCGTGAGAGAGGTGCGTGCATGCAGGAGCAACAGGAGACGCCACAAGCGGTCCCGCCAACCCTGACATGCAGTTGAGCAGATGCAGTTGTGGTCCGCGCGTGTGACATATTGCAGGCTGCGGGGCACAAAAACAGTCGTGACTACCATGGATGTGTGATTGCAATTTGCACACGGCAAGCAAAATGCATGCAAGAATGAGTGGTGGTGGAAGCACGTGGTGTGCGTCCGAGGTAGGACTGTCACGCGAGAGTGAGGACGGCTCCCAGCAGCGGAGAACCACCCATGAGGAGAGTGCGCTGACTGGGTCACGTACGCTGCAAAATAAAAAGCCCTTGTCAAGCCTTGCCCGGACCAACTGCCGTAGAATGTGTGTGCAACAAAGCATGCTGTGTGTGTGTGTGTGTGTGTGTGCACACGTGTGTGAGATTGTGCGTGCCAGGCAGCAGGGCAGGAGTGCATGTCCTGAATTTCTTGGATTGAAAAGACGAAGATAATTGCAGGGGTGATCATCACATGCAGAACATGCGCATGGATTTGCAGGCGGGGATCAACGACGCCTTGGGGTCGCGCGAGCTTGAGACACACACTCAACGAGCTCGAGCACGGCATCCCGCCGCGGGCGCCACCACGATTGCTGGCTGTCACCTCCGGCCCGCTCCTTGCGGCCCCCTGGGGTGCCTCTTCCACACGGGCTTGCACGTCGCCCGGAGCTTCTTGGGCACGTTGCTCCTCTTCTTGTAGACCTCCGCAGCGACGGCCACCTTTGCAGAGGCATTGTTGTTGACCAGCACGGGCCAGCTGGCAGTGCTGATTGCCTGCAGGGTCACGCTGATGACCTCCTTGCTGGCGGCGTTCTTGCGGTTGATGTCAACAGCCTCGCCGTCCTGGGGCCAGCAGATGCGAGCCCGCTTGTTGCGGATGCTCCGCTCGCACCCGACCGCGTAGATCCGCAGCTGGCTGCTGTGGCTGCTGGAGGGGCAGTAGCTGCCGGGTGGGAGCTCTGCCAGGTCTGAGACAAAGACGTCATAGGAGGGCACGTTTGAGCTCTCGTTGCTGTAGAAGCACAGCGGCCCTGGTTTTGGCACAGGCGTCGGCGGCAGCGTCGTGTCAATCACAGTGATGTTGCAGGCTGGGGTGGCGACCGGGCCGGTCGGGTAGGTGACGACGCCGATGACGCTCCAGGAGCCGATGGGGTAGGCCACAGGCAGCGCCGACTGTGAGCCCGCCGAGTTTGAAACCGTGAAGCCGCTGGCAGCCGCGCCCAGCGTGGAGGGCTGGAAAAAGGGCCCCGTAGGGGCAGGCGCGGTGGCGTTGAGGCTGGCGCTGCATGTCGGTGCGGCGGCTCCGAGTGTCAGGGGATTGCAGCCTGGACTGCAGGGCAGGATGGTGACAGAGCCATTGCATGATTCGCCACTCCGTAGAGATACATTGTAACGATAGATCAGGCCTTGATGGGGGTACAGGAGAGGAAGGAGGGATGCGCAGTCACACGAGTGAGTGCACTCAAAAACTTGTGGGTGTGATGCAGTGCGAATGGGACAACCGCATGGGCAACGAGCAGTGACATCAACACATGATTCAAGCCAAATGAGTCTGCCTCGCTGGCCTTCAAGGCTTGGCGAGCTGTGGGTATGCCAGACATCAACTCAACAGCAGAGTGGTTGGGGGAGTGCGCTCATGCTGATAACCGTAATCAATCCCTTATAAGAGGGCATGCAACCGCACCTGCAGCAAAGGTGACGCTTGAAAAATTATTGGACAGCAACGCCGGTGAGCTCTCTGCCTCAAACACAAGGCTGGTGATGGGGCTGGTGGCGTTGACGAAGTTCCCCACAGGCAGCGTGGTGTTTTGGCAGCCGGTGGTGCCCGGCTCGAGCGACACCTGCAGATCAGAACACACGCGGCTGGATGACAAAACGCCGGAGCTGCATTGCGCCACGATGACTGAACCCGAGCAGTTTGACCCGTTGACCGACGCCGTGAAAGCATACGTCCCTGGAAAGTTGCGCCGGCATATGCATGCAGGAGCCAGCAGAGTTTGCTTCAGTTGTGGTCGACAATACATGCTGCATGCCCATGAGCAAGGGGGAAGATAGCGTCATGCAAACACAACGCCTCCAAAAGACAAGCCCGCATGCCAACGCGCTGCGTGCGCAGAACGCATCAACGATCAGCGCCAAACTCCCTTCTGCCCCTCCTTGCACGCGCTCTCACCTGCTGTGAAGCTGAAGTTCGAGCTGCCAGGCACGGTTGCTGGCGCTGCGCCTGCCCACGAGATTGCCACATCGTCAGCGCTTGCCCCCACGACGGTGGCCAAGTCTGCTTTTGCCGCCACCACCGACAGCTGGCAGCCCGTGGGTGCGGCAGAAAGGTTGAGCCTGAGGTTGGCGCAGGCAAGGCTGATGGGCGCTGCCGGGCACGGTGTCACCGTCACAACACCGGAGCAGTTGGCGCCGCCGACTGGCTGTGTAAATGGGTAGCCGCTGGGTGCATTGGCAGTGTAGGGATAGGAGCCTTGGGAGAGGGGCAAGCGTTGGGAGGCGGGGCGAGCGGAGGGACAGGGCAGTGAGTAAGGGGCAGTACGCCGTGCTGTCTGCTGGAAGGTGGTCTCGTTTGCTGGCAATATGTGTGTAGTGCTCATTAACGTCAGGGAAGGTGCACAGTTTTGCTCAAGGGCAGCTGCCCCACGCCCCGGCTCCGCACGCACATGCGGTTGCAGAGGTGGTGACACGCACTCAACCTCGGGCGAGCCCGCCCTGACTCCTGGCGCCTGCGGCCCCCCACCCGGGGCAAGCCCCTGCCCCCGCACCAGGCACGAACGTAAAGCTCAGAGCGCTGCCAGTCACGGGCACCTGCGCGCCCGTCCCCGTCCACGCCACCGCCACGGCCGCCGCCCGCCCGCCGCCCCCGACAGAGACCAAGTCCGCCAGGGACCTGTTGGCGGCCGCGCAGCCCGTTGTGGCGGCCGACAGCGAGATGTTTGGGCTGGCGCAGGCGACGACGGCCGGGCAGGCGTACACTTCCACCCGTCCGCCGCTGCAGGTGCCGAGCGTGGCCAAGCTCGACGCATTTGCGGCCGACGCGTTGGCTTGAAAACTGTATAGGCCTGCGTTCGCAGCAGGCAGGGTTTGGGTTGCAGCAACGTTTCATCCATGGTAACTGCCAACATGCGTGAGGTCCTGTCAATTGTTTGCAACCCTTTACTGGGCTGGTTTCAAATTAGGACACCGTTGAAGGAGTGCAAACGGGTCAAGGGCTAGACAACCTTATGATGTCTGCACAGGAGAGGGGCTGGCGGCCGGCGGCTGGGGGCTGGGAGACAACAGGCATGAAGCGCGGCTCTCCGCTACAACACCTGTGCCCAGCAGATCCAGGACCGCCCATTCGGTGCGCAGGGGCAAGCAGCGCGCGGGTCCTGGTGTGGAATGGGCTTTGAGTCGTTGGACGCCCCCCACGCGCGCACACGCATGCTGCAGACCGCCTGCGTGCCTCTCGAGCGATCATGCATGCCGCCCCACACCTGGCTCGATAATGAAGTCTGGTGGGCGTGAAGTCGTTGACCTCAAGATGGGCGGCGTGAAGTTGACGCCCGCACTATTGAAGTCCCCGCTGCCTCCAACCTTGATGAGCTCGGCCTGCCTCAACACTGCTGCGTCGCACCCCGTGGCATTGGTGAGCTGGGCGAACGTGGAGAGGCACTGCACGGTGGCCCCGCAGGCGGTCACGGTGGCCATGCCAGTGCAGGTTGCGCCGTTGAGGGACGCGTTATATGGGAATGGACCTGCGGGGACAAATGCGTGGGTGAAAGGGTGCAGGCAGTGTGGAGGGGGGGGACGAATGCAGGGAAGAAGGGGCCTGCAGATGAGCCGCAAAAACAACGCGCAGCACAGCAGGGAACAAGCTGGTGGAGATGGTGGATGCAGAATGGGCATCATCTGGCCGCTCGCTGTTGGTGGTTTCTACTGTGGCTTGCTTGCTCCGCAGGTAAGGCCACCGACGCAGCCCGACAACGTCACACTTGCACAAGCAGGGCATGGCCTGGACCATCATTGATCTGTGCAGCAGCGCCTCACCGATGGCGCCAAACTCGAACCCGCTACTTGTGGTGGTTGTAGGCTGCGCAGACGTGAACGTGACGGCCACGTTCGGTATGTCTCCAACGCTCTGGACCTGCACAAAATCTTCTTTGCTGGTGTTGGCAGGAAGACAGCCGACTGTGAAATTGAGCGCCGGCTGCTGCACAAAATTGGGCGCCTTGCACTCAAGAATGCAGGGCGCGACGGTGATCGTGTCGTTGCAGGCGTTGCCAGAGCCGTCTGATGCATTGTAGAAGTATGTGCCTGGCATGATTTGCATGACCAGGAAGGGCGGGTTTCAAAAGGAGCCAGCAGGGCAAGGGGCGGGGACTCGCGGTAAGCCTCGCGGGGG